GGGAGGGAGGGAAGGAAGGAGTAATGGAGGAGAAAGGGAGGGAGGGAAGGAGGAAGAAAGGGAGGAGAAAGGGAGGGAGGGAAGGAAGGAGTAATGGAGGAGAAAGGGAGGGAGGGAAGGAGGAAGAAAGGGAGGAGAAAGGGAGGGAGGGAAGGAAGGAGTAATGGAGGAGAAAGGGAGGGAGGGAAGGAAGGGAGGAAAGCAAGGGAAGGGAGGAAGGAAGAAAAGAAGGAGAAAGAGGGAGGAAAGGAAGGAAGGAAAATCCCTGTAGGTATTCTCAGCTTCTCCCAATGGTGGGTGAAGGGAGTCATTTCAGACTAGGCTTGTCTAATTTAAGGCTCTGGCTGAGCTTCTTGGGAGCTTGAAACTTTCTAGCCTAATTAGACATAATTGTAGGGAGAGAAAAGGAAGATAATAAGATGCTCTCCCTTCTCTCTCTCTCCCTTAATGCCAAGTCTGCAGAGACTGACTGAAGTTTTGCCCTGGCAGATCTTGGCTTTTTTGAAATTATTCCTGCCAGTGAAAAAAAACCAAGAGAAGGGTGGGGATGATAGAATCAGATACAGTGAGGGGAAAGCCAGTGGAGCTGCAAACTAGATCTCGGTCAGGGACAGCTTTTGGGGGAAGAAGGACCAGGTAAACTGAATCTCATTTAGGGGGGCGGGATTGGATTGGAGGGAATTAGATATAGTGGAGGGATAGGACCAGGATTGTATGATCAAAGCTTGCTTGGATGAAGCAATAGGTAAAGGATTTGGAGCTGACCTGGCTTTTTAGTTTTGAAATGTAAATTACCAGTTGTTAATAAACATCTTATAGCCCATGTGAAGTAGGTAGATTTCTTGTCTGTGCCAGCAGCTTCCTAGCAATACTACACTTGAACCTGTCTCCCGACAGTAGACTTCCTTGGTGAGACAATTTATTTGGCAGACATCTCTAAAATATGTTGATGAATGCCACCACTGTTCTTACTGTCTCTGACAAAGTTAGTTCCTTGTACCAGTACAGATCACCTGGGACTTGTCTGTTCTGATCGCAATTTTTTTTGTACAAACATTTCCAGATCACTGCAATTCCACTACCTTAATATCTAGAAAGTTTCCATATATTTAATGCATCTGGAGCATTAGGGTTCAAAAAAAGCTGTACAATGAACTGTAGGCGTATTTTCAGGTAGAAGGCCAATGGTCTAACTGGATCTTGTATATTTTAAATACTGTAACCTAGTTAACATTCAAGTATCTAAATATGCCTTTGGGTTAAGCTTGTTAATGTTTGTGCTCTTTAATCAAATACCAGTGTCTGAGTATTCTTAACATGGGTTTTATACATGGATCATTTTTGAAGTTGAGACTGGTGAAAAATGTGATTGCCTTTGTAGTCTGGCAATAATCAGTCATAACTGTATTGCCTAGAAATTGGCTAGTACAATACATTCTACTTTGGAGATGACTCGGAGTGTTTGTGTGGGATAATTTATTAACAAATATAGGGTGTATTCACAGGATTTGTTTACCACAGTTATCACTTAGCAGACTTCTCTGGGATCACATTACAAGTTCAAGTATACATTAACTATAAGGCCCAAATTCATTCATTATAGAGGCTAGTGAATGGCCCTCCAGGATCAGGCTGAGATATTATAAGACAGTTGTCCACTTTTACCTGTGAAAATATACTGGATGAAGAACCAAAGTCATTTATTATATGCAACATTGTAAAATTTCTTATTAATATCCACAATGTTTGGTAGCAGGGAGGATATTTATCTGTGCATCAGGGTTGATGAAATTCAACAGATGGCATTGGCTTATATTCACTATAAAAAACTTGCACCTGTAAGAGACATTAAAATGTGGAGCAGTTCCCTCATCCTCAGCTGTTTTCTTCTCTTCATCTTGCAATATTGATTTATATCTAGAGAGTGGTTAAGGGTTTTCATCCATAGATAGAAATGGTTTGACGTCAACAAAAAAAATCATTTACAATTTTTTCTTGTTATCACATGCCATGCTGTTTGGGGGGAAAGCAATTCTTCTTCAAAACAACTCTTGGGCATTTTCTATTTGTGCAGGCAACATATAAAGAAGAGAATTGTGCCTTTGGGTGGTTTCATCACTTCTTGAGTGATTTTTTTTTTAAAATGCAGCTTCAAAATGCCACGGATTTTGTTCACCATCTTAAAATGTGAAATACACGAATGTTCCTTTAAATAAAATTGAAATTGTATTTTAAAGCAATTTTTTTTCTTTCCACAGAGAATATGAAACAGGCGTCAAAATGACATCCAGATTTGGGAAGACATATAGCAGGAAAGGTGGTAATGGCAATTCAAAATTTGATGAAGTTTTTTCAAACAAACGGACCACTCTTAGTACAAAATGGGGAGAAACGACCTTTATGGCCAAGCTAGGCCAGAAGAGGCCCAACAGCAAGCCAGATATTTCCGAGATCCCTAAGAAACCCAAAGTAGAAGAGGAAGCAATAGAAGATCCATTTGGATTTGACAGCGATGAAGAATCATTGCCAGTTTCTTCCAAGAACATGTCCCAAGCGAAAGGCTCTGCTCAGTTGGAGTCACTTGAAGCTTCTCAGCCTGGAGACTTTTCCTCTGTACTTGAGTCTAATAGCAAATTTCCTCCCTTGGTTGGTGAAGACCCTTTGTCCAGCAGAGTTGTGTCTTTTGATAATGCCTTGCATGACTTGAAAGAGAAGAATTCGGCCAGAAACACGGCAGAAGAAGACTTCAGAAGTAGCAATGCTATCCCTCTAGCTGCAGGTATGCTCACATAGTGTAGTTGTGCACAAAGCTGACCCTTAGGTCAGTGTGGAAAACTAGCTTGCCAGTCATTGTCTTTGCCAAATGCTAGCTTTCTGATTCGAATCACTCCAATTGGTATATGCCTGGCAATGGTGGCGGGGAAGAAGGCGGTTTTGGACACGTCTCATATTCTGAAGGTTACCATCAGGAGATGAGAATCTTTGCAATGTTTGACAAATTAGTATGCCTAATCGGTTTCTAAACAACCCAATGTAAAATGTATTGTTAAAGCATCACTATCAGAATCCCTTTAACCCTTAAGTGAAGTGAATCCAAGTTAAGAAATGTGTATAAAAGGCCACATGTTCGATATAATCTCTTTCCTATCATATAGCACTAGGACAGAATCGGTAACATCTTTCGACTTTACACATCTTTTATGGTTTTAAAATGCTCACGCCTTCCCGTACTGTACTTGATCTGCCAGTTAAAGTGTATAATCCTAACATGATATTAAAGAATACAATTCATTCATGAAGGGATGTACAAAAGTACTCTGGGAACAAAATATTCTGTGAATGCCAGAGTGTTCTGTTTCTGTGGATGCCACAAACTGGCTTCAGGGGGGTGGGGGTGGGGAAGAACTTCTAGAAAGCTACCAAAATGGCTGGATTGGCATGGTCTGGACGAGAAACAAAATGTTATAGGCATTTCTAACATTTTTACTTCCTGGAACAGCAAGGTTTGTATACTTATACACAGCCTGTTGTACTACTTTATATAGAGGAACATTGCAGGATCATTGGTCTGAAATGGAGATATTTTTCTTTATCTCCTAAAGAAGATGATTTAAATAGAATAATACAGTAGCTCTAAATGGTATTTTAGCTATCCATTGTTATTCTTTCCCCAGTCACTTTGCTAACCCAAGACATTAAAATCTGCTATACTGTCTAGCCCAGGGCCTGTTTTTTGAACCATCTGATCTGTGTAGGGGGGTGATTTCTTTGAAACAATAATACTACTATAGATCCATTTGGATCCAAGACTCCTATTTGGATCATTGAGGTAATTCTAGGATGGATTTGATTTAATCAAGTCAATTTAAATCATGATTTAAACCATGATTTAAATCACCAGTAAAAAGGCTTAATTTAAATCAACTCAATTTAAAACATAATTTTTAAAGAGCAGTTGTCATTTCTGTTCTGCAGCGGCTCCTCCAACCCGCTGTTGACTCACCGACCATCCCATTCACTTTAATGGCTGGTGATGCGGCAGTGCCACAACAAGGTGAGGGACGTGGCAGGCAGCAGATGCCCACTAACAGGTGCTGCCATGATGGATCTGAAATGACAGGTGCTCTTTAAATGTAAGGACTCATTCTTGCTGGCAGTTAGAATCTTTTAATGTTATTTGAAAACAAAATGAAGGTTTCCTATTTAGCTTGCAGAGCTTGGATTCATTGAATGAGTTTACAAAAAAATGTAAATATTGCAGAATATACAGCCTCTTGCTACATAACTAAGCTCCATTTCATGCTGAATGGAATTATTAATGGAATTATT